TTTATTACTCTTGATATATAGGTACCTATCAAATCTCTACAATAATATGTAGCAATACAACTACAATAGAGGCTTAAGCCTGTAGGCAACAAATAATATTATCTATCTGTAGACCTCACCATTTAATGAGTAGCTACCCATATTTTAAGAGTAATCAAATAATTCATTTTTTCATGAGTTATATTCATCTTCACCTTGGAGATAAATAGTCTAAAATAAATTCAACTCGATAATTTGAACTTAAGGTTAACATATCAGTTATCAAAAAAGATTTTTCACTTCCTTTAATTTTACATGAAATCTTACACTTTACATTTCACATATCCAACCGATATTCCGAAAAAATCATTTATATAACATTTATAATCAATCTGAACATCTTATCTAATGTTGAAGCAGTTAAGATTATTGTGGAAAAAACATATTTACATATTCTTATATAAATTACATTAAAATACTTTCAATTATATGTACGATATCTGTCTCATACGTAACAAGAGTATTTTATTAAAAAAATTATTATTGAATTTATACACAATAAAAGAAATATATGATCTCTTTCAGAATATCTTTCTTAGGAACGCATCTACCGTTCACAGTGATTTTATCACTGGTAATGTTCTACAAATGAGATAGACCTCGTACATGTTTTTATATCTTTCCATTCTTTCATTTCTACAAAACAGATTACATTATTTTAAAACCATAAAATTTATTCTCAAACTTCATTAACGCAAACTATTATGTTACAAATATAGACTCATACTTTGTGCAAATATACATACAAAAATTTAATTTGCAAAAATTAAAATCATTTTTCTTGCATTGAGAAAACAGTTTGAATCACAAATTCTTATATTAATCTTCTGCAATGAGAAGGAAAATATTACTAAAAATATCAATATTCAAATTTTATAGTAGAATAATGTAAAATTTATCAAGTTTTTTTAATGAAAAATTATTTGTCTGAATTTTACTCGAAGACTTATAATTAGTTAAAAATTATAACACTATAGTTTTTGTGATGATAGATAACAGCCTGATTTGCTGTTATCTGTTATATCTATAATTCTTGTTAATAAAAACCGCAACTGTAACTGAAGAGATAGTCGGTGACAACTCTTTTTTACAAGATCTTCTTGTTACAAGGTTCTTGGTTGTCCAAAATTTTCGTTTGTGTCGCCACAACATATGTAATGTTAATGACGCTTTGGTGTGGTACGGCCGATGAATCTTTCCTCTTGCGGGTGCATATTTCGGGCACAAATGACACTTAAACATTCTCTGTGCTATCGATCTCTTTTGAGATTGAACACTTTTAGTAGTTTTAATAATTTTGAACTTTTGTCTTATATTTTGCAAACCTAAAGCGGGTATCAAATATCTCATTTGATAATCAGGTTGCCGTATAACTTGTCGGGGCCGACTTTGTTTCCGTCTCGATGTTGTACATCGCGAATTTTCGCTTATATTTTCCTTTTCGCTTAAAATACTTACATATTCCTGCGAAGATGATGATTCCAAAACTTCATCAGCGGCTCTTGACGTCGATGGTAACTGCCAACTACATGTAAAATCATTATTAGATGTATCGATAGCGTCGTTTCTACTCCCGTTATTGTGATCATTTAAATATGACTCAAGATCATCATCTCTATCGCTCTTGAAATCGCAGACGCGACATATGACAAAGTCACGACTGCGTGCCTCGCGGCCGTTACCATTGCTTCGGACGATATCATCATCGTCGTCGTCATCGTCGTCGTCACCAATGGTGTCGCCTATGTGACGGTGCGACCGCTTCTCCTCCTCCGTAGGGTATGCCATAGTTGTTGCAGTTGCAGGGGACTTTACCATCTCGTGGCTGCAACCACCGCGGCACTGTTCCATAAGTTACGTTCGCGTCATTTTTCTACCAACGTACGAGTGTTCGTCGTAACACGACGTGAAAGAAATAAAACTGTGTAACTGGACAAGAACACATTCAGCAACAACAACGCGTACGCAATCAGAATCGCGCGGTCTACGACATCGAAAAAGCAAATTGAAGCGTGCACGTGATAGCATACGAGATGAAAAAATATCGTTTTTTTTAACTAAAAATAATATCAAAAAATGACGCTAGAACGTAACAAAATATAGGAGGAGGAGGTGGGCAATGATGCGCGAGATGACGAATCGCCGGACCGCATCATGAACGGGTAACGATTGATGTATATCGATTTCGCATTAAATATAGAAAATGTGATAGCATTGAATGTTCCATAAATCATCCGTACAATAGCAGACGGACGATCAGAACTCATGACAAAAAGTTAATGCATACAAATCGTGACCCGTCGTCGAGCGCGCCAACATTAGCCAAATGAGCGAACATAAAATTCGAAAGAGCTCGCCATTTAATGTCGTACGGCATTCATTGCGCAATTAATGATAAATAAAAAAGTAGGGAAAACGCAACAAAATGCAATTAATTGAATAAATAAATGGAAGCCAAGTGTCAACGTGCAGCAACAATAAATGTTATAATGCTTACCCGAGTATAGTGCTTGGTGGTATCACAGTGGTAGCAGGTGCAATCGTTGGAGCCGGTGCTGGAAAAACTGGTGGCCCAGGTGGCGGTCGTCCTCCTCCCACGGGACTGTAAATCCAATAATGAGCAATAGATAATCGTGTAAATTATTCGGTTGAGAATGAAGGTGTTCTAGACTATTACAAAACGATTCAATTTCATTTTCGAATATTTTTACGAAATTATACGAAAAATTTATTTCGTATAATTTCAAAAATCAATTTACAATCTTTAGCAAAGGAATAAAAACAATAAAAGATTTCTAATATTTGCATAATTAAGATTATAATTTTTAAACAATAAAAATCTTATTAGACATACTCGTATGTAAGAACACAACCAGTAAGAAATAGGAACGCCCATAACGATCGAAGCTGGATGTTTGATGTTTCAATAATTCAATGTGAATTATACACACACACACGCGCGCGCGCGCTTGTGTGTG